CCGCCTGCACCTGGGGACTTTCAGGGCGCCTCTGAGTTCGCTGGAATGACTAAAGCGGGTGTCAATGAGGGGGAAGGGGATCACCGAAAAACGACACCTACACAGCAATCAGAATTCAAGAAACGAGCAATTGAGACAAAAGATCTCGCAGTGATCGAAAAAGAGATCGAAAAAGAGTCGCGGAGATATGAAAAAGGAGAGGGAGAGGACGAAAGGCTAGAAAAAACGGAGACAAAACAGGCAACAGATGCATGTCTAAGTATCAGCTTAGATGGGTCAATTGTCAGTATCGGATGGGACGGAGAAGGGTGCTGGATTGAGCCACCAGATGAACAGAAATGTTGTGGGGTGGAGGTTATTGGGTACCTAGAATGCACGCATGATGTAACAATTTATTCTTGCATTTTCTGTAACTGTCTCCAACACTCATTGATTTCTTTCGATGCGAAGTTTCTATCAGCTCCACAGCTTCAACTCAAAATAGAAGATGAAGGATTCTACTTGTACGACAGAGAGACAAGTTTCAAACGTAGTGAGTGGATTTTAAACATTTGATTTGTGAAGAGTTCTGATAAAAAATTTGTTCAAAAGCCGAAATCGGCTCTCACGTATTAAATTTTTCCCTTATCTTACACTTAGCAAATCTTATACTTCCAGACAGGGGCGGATTTAGGGAGGAGGGGGCGGACGCCCCTTTATATGATCTTATATGATGTATTTTTCCCAGAGATAGAAGAAGAGTCAACTGCTTATTGTGGTGAGAGAGAGGACTCCGATCTGTGTCAGTCCAGCACTCTTTTCGATCACCCTTACAGCTACATAACAAGTCCACGTTCGCCCTCCGAGCCAACTTACCCCTTGTGGGAGCCAGAGTGTCATACACTTCACAAGTCAGAATTTTTAACTGCTTCAGTTTTCATGAGTGGCATTTCACATTGTCATCTCAGCACAAACACATTGGAGCTAATACATTGGGTTGGATTATCAGCATACCATAAGTCATCGAATATCTATGCGGTGCCCTGCAGCATTTCTGAGGAAGACTACTCCTCGTTTTATGAGTATCATACAATTATGACTAAATCAGAGAGTGTGTACGATGAAGTATCCTTGAGTCCAACGGGTAATGTTGCATTGAAAACGCTTGCAGTAACAACAGATTTTTGCCATTTCTACGACACCATGTCTTACATATCTCTCGACTGCTTACAAAGTCATTGCAGTTCAGTTTGTCAATTAAGCGGCATGTCTCATGACTCTGAACCAGATGCTGTTCTGGACTTCACCCTTTTTCCTCCGGCGCAATGCATGGCGGTGTTACTGGTTCAATTGACTCTTCTGGAAGCCTCCTCTTCAGTGAAGACTCTGGTTATTCTCATGGAACATGTGAGCCTATCTGGTCAAAACAAGCTTCTAACTTAAGTTATTGAAAACATTTTAAGAGAAACGTTTAACGCATGCCATGAAACAAATCAAAACTATGATTTATTGATTTTTTGTGTTATGAATTCGGATAGGCTTTTCGTTCTCATGTTTAATCAGGATTGCGATTTTGGTTAGGTGAATTCGTTGACTAGCGATAACGATGGTAGTGCTTCAATCATCAGTAATCCTTCCCAAAATCTCTCCAAGTGTAAAGAGGTCGAGGTCGATGACAATGAGCGAGACCTGGAAGTTGTTCAGCAGCGGGAGCGACGGGAGGTTAGTCTGGTGCCATGGGCAGGTGAGGTGTACGAGTTGGTGCTCTGTATCTATGGCAGCAGGGGCGGACGGAGTGTGCGAGTGAGGAACCACGCCTTCTTCATCCTCACAGTATCTATTATGCAGGATCCGAAGGCAGAGATTGTCAAAAATTTCAAGGTTTCGTATCATTAAGGGTCATCCTATCCTTCAAGAAATTATATCGCTTATTTCAGAAAAATTTTGAAACAGGCCAAAAAAGGCGGCGTTTCAGGCACTTTACAGGAAAAATTTGAACTAAAAATTGCGTTTTTTCGGCGCACGCTTCCCCCTCAAATTTAGTATTGGGGCCGAAGGGCGTTAAGAAAAAATTCATGGTCTGTCAGCAAAAAATGGATATCGTAAAATAGTACAAAGGGGACCCTTTGGGTCGACAGGGGGTCGAATCTTGAGGGAAGTGAGGGAAGCGCCCAACCTCATCCCCCCAAAATCTTCTGGTGATTTTCAACATCAAAATGTTTGATCATCTTTGTTGATTTTTCTTGTTTCAGATTAGACCGTGCGAGCAGGTGAGCAGCAGCGAGACTGACTCATTCTGCAGCTGTGTCTCTCGGAGGGCGGGACATTCCAGGCCACACTCTCTCCCCCCAGTACAATCGCACTCCCACCTTGGGGGACCAATGGACAATGCTACCTCGGGTAACTCAGGGTGGGGTTCTATTTCTTCTTCCACGGCTGCATTGGGATGTTTGGGCCAGATGCGGATGCCTCTCTCAACTCGGCATCATTTGCCCCTCCTTTTGATGCAATTACAGACGGCTTCCAGCACCCCCACTCTCACACCTACTCCAACTCCACCCTGCTCTTCATGAATTGCAACTGGAACTTTTATATAACGGAGAGCGGTCATGGACGTTCGAATAACCGCTGAAACAGAAGCATTATGTATTATAACACTAAATCTGTTAACAAAATTAATACTTCAGTATGATATTTCTTTCCGTATCGAATGCAGCCGAAAGTTACCTAAAGTGACAAGGTAAACGATAAATAAAAGTAAATTTACCTTAGTTCACCTAATAAAGTTAGGGTCGATTCAGTTTTGTGTAGGTGCAGATAATTTTTTGAAAAATTAGCTAAAATAAATGCTTTTCAATCATGGCAAAAACTGCAGTTTTTGTTAAGAACTATAAAGCGTGGCAAGCGAGATTTTTTAGAACGGCCAACTAATTCATAAATAAAAACTGAAACGTTCAACCATCAAACTTTGGGCAAATTTTAAATGACCCATCTGATGTTGATACCTTAGCTGACTGATTGATCACTCAGATATTCTTCTCAAAATCATTTTGCGACTTGGTATTCATGAATAAAAAGATTTGTAATGAGACATAAAATTGATTTTAGAAGAGTAAGTCATTCCGAGTAACTCTTTTTAATCCATAGATCGTTTTCCGACTTTTTCAAAATCAAGTATTCCTGAGATGAGATATTCAACAGGGCATTTTTCATGAACTTAAAAATTACAATTACTTGAAAAAAATTATGGTTTTTTCAGAATCAATGATTGGTTGTCGTCAGACAGGTAAAACGTATTTATTTCATGTCATTAAAAAAGTTCTGAAAAACACTAGCGAGTTTGTAAAGAGTAAATTTCCAGAATACTTCCACGAAATGAAATATTAAGACCGACACTCTTATACTATTTTGAGATATCCATTTTTGGCTAATTGACCTGAAAACTTTCCGCTTCATACTAACTTGGAGGGGAGAGCGCGCCGAAAAAAGCGATTTTTTGGTCAAAATTTTCCAAAAATTGCCTAAAAACGCCGTTTTGGTCGGTTCTTTTTTAAAAAAAAACTTGCCTGCCACGCAGAGAAATTGCTCATAAAAGGTCTGTATAATGATTGGGAGAACTCAAAGAATCAATATGGTAGATTATTTGTAAACTTAAAGAAAAAGCAAATAAAGATTCACATTTGCTGCACATTTCCCCCGCCCTTGCTAAACGATAAAGGAGATAAAAATATGGAATTTTTAGAAATAAAATTTAACGGCATACCAGATTATCATAAGAAATCAATCGTAAAATAAATGAGAATGGTATTTTGGGAGATTAACATTAACAGTTTAAAGAAGTTATTCTACCTCAGAAATTTTCTCAAGCAAAATATTTTAGCACGCTTGTTTAAAAGCATATTTTCAAATTTTACGCGTGGCTAGCGGGCGATTCTACGGTAGGTCACTTACAGGGGGAGGTGATTGTACCGTTGATCCAAGGACTTTTACCCATCAACGGATACCTTCATGCGGAATGCTGAACATAATTTGAACACCGGGTGTATGGTTACCAACAAAATCTCCATTCTGAAACCCCAACAAAATACTTCCGTTTTTATTAGTGAGACACGAATTATCTTTTAATTTTGTTGAGCTTACCTTGTAGCAAGACTGCAATAATAGCCAGAAAAGCTTTAGCTGCAACAAAAATTGTCATTTATTTTGAAGCTTTATGTGTTGAAAATTAAAAAATTCATTGTCCAGTCAAAATGGGAAAATTGAAAAATAAAGCAGGGGCGGATTTAGGGGGGGGGGGGCGCTGGCGGACGCCCCCCCCCCTCAGGGATTCGACCCCCTGCCGACCCAAAGCCCCCCCCCCCCTTTGATACTTTTTCAGAAATCCATTTTTGGCCGACCGACCCTAAAATTTTTCTAAAGGCGCCTTTGGCGCCAATATATGCTAACTTTGAGGGGGAGCGCGCGCCAAAAAAAACGCGATTTTTTTGTCAACATTTTTCAAAAAGTGCCCAAAAACGGCTTTTTTGACTGTTTTTTCAAAAACTTGCCTGCGGCGCAGAAAATTTAGCCAAAATAGGGGCAAAACAGTGCTTTGGGAGAGCTCGAAAAATCAATTTGGTCGACCTAAAAAAAAGGTCGTCAAAATTATGGAATTTTTTTTGAAAATCAGCCCCACCCCTCGAGAAAATCCTACATCCGCCCCTGAAATAAAGGGCCTTTTGATCATATCAGAATGAGTTTAATTTAAAGCGGAGAAAGGTGTTAATCAAACTAATAATGGCCGAAATATTCTGGTGTAGTTTTTGGAAAATTCGGAATGAGGTTTCTACTTACGCGTATTCCAAATATTCAAATTGCAGTATAAAAAAGCATTGGGTTTCCTGAAAAAAAATCACCAAGACCTATATATGTATTCACTACGTTCATGTCTACTAATAGTTAAGAGCAAAGTTTGTCAAGTCAGAAGATCTTTGTAAGGATTTTTAATTCGCTTTTCACATATTTAGATTGCGTGTTTTTTTTCGAATTGGAAAGTCTGAAATTTGTTCACGCTCAATTCAAGTTTGACAGTTGGGAGATGAAAATCGATTTCAACTTTGAGACGCAAAAGTATGTTGGCCAGGAAAATAAACAGTACGGGAAAACCATAAGTAAAAATCAGATAAAAATTCACCTGGAACTTAATTTCTTTTAAGAGTAACTAGTCATCTATGTCAGATTCTACATCGTTCAGCATTATTGAAGTCGAACGCCACGGTTTACTTACTTTCACTCTATTCCTTCACGTTGAATTTTTTTCGAACTTTCAATTAGTAACACAATGGCAAAACATTAAAACTCAGAAATGTCAAAATAACAAACAAACGACACTCAAGTAATCAAGTATATCAACGCACATATTTAAGGGCGAAAATACGTAAGCACAAACGCAAAATCGCTGCCACTGCAGAGATCAAGTCATTAAATTGCACTTTTTCGATTGGCAAAACTTAAGCTGAACTGAAACGCTAAGGGTGATCATTACTATCACAAAGCTAAGAAAGTTAAGTAGATTTAGTAAACTAGTTGTAAGACAAGTTTTAAGAGTTCTGTCGTTCAAAGTTTCCGGCTGAAACACTGATGGAGCCCCGGCAGTGATTCGACAAACGACGGCAATGTTGAGACATAACATACCCATGTATAATTATAACTGACCTACAGTTTGCTATGACTGTATAGCTAGATCTAAATGAGATACCGTGCCTCATCACATGGGTTCCCCTCCATATTGCACCTGTATGTGCTTATAGGCGTGTAGACCTCTGTGCTGATCTGAACTGAAGGAGACGACCAGATTAACTTCGCCAGTTCTCCTTGGCTTGTAATCAACCACATAGCTACACTCTTCGCCTGGGTTCAGACTCTTCTCTTCAACTTCCAGACTTTTCCTGGAGCTGAAACCAGGTGCGTTCAGTCTGAAACAACCCCCGGTCAGGGGACCTGCGAACTGGTTTTTGAACGAAAACTTCAGCTGGATACTTTCGTTAACGATAAATGGAGGCTTGTTCAAAACAGTAACAGTCGGAGGCGGAGCCCGTATCGGAACTTCTTCTTCTAGAAATCCCATGTCTTTAGTCTCATGCAAGTCATACATTGCCGATATCTTCAATACACTTCCACTTATTGCCCCTTTTGCATATTTACTACTTTCAATATTACATTTATACAGCTTCTCTTCCGGGAGTTTCAGATCCTTGTTTTCTGAAAAAACATTCGAAATGAATTTTCCATTGTACCCGTACAAGCTCGCAGACACATTTAATGTTACACTTGCGCTCTCTAGTTTCAAAAGCTCCAGGTCGATAGAGAATTCTACAGGGTCACCTATTACGTAATAGTCGTGGTTACAATGGAACTTCATATGAATTTCATCTTCATCTTCTATGTTCTCGTATATATCAGGCTCCGATCCATAAGTAACCGCAAGTCGAGTCTGATATCTTTCCTCCCAAGATCCCTCTTTGTGTTTATACTCGTCAGTTATATAATGCGGCTCATTGGATCCTACAGCTTTCGTTACCACCATTCTTCCTACGTGTTTCTTGTCTATTTTCTTGATTACAAAATCTCCATCATCATTTTCCCGCCAGTAAACTCGGTCAGCGTTGACTTCCGCAAAGATAAACCGTGCATCGTACGGCAAATAGACGCGCCCTTCTTTGATAGCTTTCAGAGGCGCAGGGCCCGCTTGAAACGCTCCATCGCTCATTTCTTGAGGCGTAGCATCGAGCGCTTGCCATCCATCAAATCCTTTCGGAAGATCAGAGCGCTTGGTCCAAATTTCATTCCATAAATGAAAGTTCCAAACTGAATCATCTGATTCTATCTTGTTTCCTTTTTTATCATGAAAAATATCAATTACCATATTATTCTCGGTGTCGTGAGCTGATCTGTAGTTCGTAACTGATCTACACGGGATTCCTAGGGTTCTCAAAACAGCGACTAGAACACCTGAAAATACCCAACATTGACCATACTTGACAGGTTTTTTAGTCTCCAGGTACTGCACTAGAATGTCTGCAGAGTTGGCCCATTCTGAGGGGTCCACTCCATATGAATAATCACCACTCCAATTTCCGACTAGAACACCATCATCATCTAGTGAGTTGACCATAGCTGTCATGGCTCTACTCACAAACACAGGGCTACTTTTCGACGTTGCAGTTAGCGAGCTTTTCTCTAACAGGTGAATGCAGCAGTCAATGACTTTCGATTCGAACTGTCCGAAAACCCAGCCCCATCCTTCGGCCTTGAGTCTCCATGACGATGCTCCAAAAACTAGTCCCGAATCACTTAAAATATATTCCTCTCTTTCTTTGTCATTTTCAAGGTAGACTTGATCTTGTTCACAAAACGGGTTGAACAAAATAATCACTTCATGATCTAATTTTTGTCCCTGCGTTGCAACTTGGAAGTTCCATCTTCCTACAGCGCAGTTAGAGGGAGAAACGACTCGATAAGATCCATCGTCATTAGATTCTAGTTTCCATCCTCCTAAGTTTGGTTTGTTAGGCGTCAAATTAACTTCAGTTGCTACTTTCTTGATTATGTTGTTACCCGAGTACTTCGGCTTTGTCGCGCCTGTATTATAAGTGCACTTGATGGCCTCGAGATTTGAAACAGTCTTGAATTTGATAGGGAAGGCACGTCTAGCTATGAGCAAGCTGATATCTTCAAACTCAGTTGTAAAATGGTTTTTGCGGTTCTCTGATAGAAAGAACTCAACCGCACTTGAGTCCAGCTTCCGCTTTTTAGGATCTTCCACCATATTATCTAAAATATTTTGAAAATTCATAATAATGCACTATCATATTCAGCGCACTGCTTCCCCAAGATCAACTTTAATGGCGAATTTCCTCATCTTCAAAATTGTTTAAGTATCATAGTGATGCCTTCAAAATGCAGAAAATGCTGATTTGTATTCGAAAACACATTAACAATAAATATTTCAATTTTATCAAAATATGGTTATTTCTGGAGGCCGGAAACCAAAAAATAGTACCACGTTTCTGTTCGCTCATCAAAAATTAATTGCCGAAAACGCAACATTGCCGAAACGGCGGAACTGCGCAGGTGCGTGAATTCTAATTGAGATGATAGAACTTCCAATCAAAAACTCATTGTGCCGTGGATGCAAACGAGTGCTGAGCTCATCATTTTTTAAATATTCTTTCAAAACAACCAAAAATTTTTCCGTATCCATGGAAAAATCGTCATCTTTCCTGAAGTTCTATCCATATCGTAAAGTGAGACAATTAAATACTTGAGAAGCTTCAACTTCAAAGGGCAGCTGATTCTTTAAACTACTATTTAGCAGCGTATGAAAAAAAAATGCAAATGAATACGTATTCTGATCTTTCACTAAGCTCACACACAAATTAAAATGCCATCAAAAGGCAAACAAAGTCCACTTGTCAATCCCGAGCCTAATCAACAGTCTTCGGATCTCTTTCGAGATACTCCTGAACCTGAGCTCCAAACAGAAAACGACACAAATGATTCCCAAACAGCCTACAGGATGGACGACCTTCTATCTAACACAGACAGTTCTCGGAATGGAAGCTCGAAACTAGATCGGGGCGACTCCGCTCAAGCTGTATCTAGCGTTAATGGAACAGCACGCATACGTAAAGTTGACAGACCCAACGAGTCTTCTCCGCTTAACAGGCAGATCCAAGACGGTGTTCCCATTGAGCAGGAAAAACAACCGGAGACCAATGATGAGCCAGAACGAGAGATCGAACTGACATCAAGAGAACCAGACTCATCGCAAAAGAAAGTACTAAGAAAGCCGCGGTACACGTTCAAGACATTCGAAGACTGTCCCTGCGCGTTCTGCAAGCCAAAAACCAAAAAAGAGAAAGAAAACCCAGAAGGTAAAACTGGTAAAGATGGAAAGGTTGAAGAAAAACAGGACCAGGGTATTAGAAAACCGGATGGATCCACACAAAAGCCTACTCCCGAGCCGATTGTAATCCCAAAAACACAAACTGAGGTGCAACTTGTCAACGTAAGTATATACTTCATATTCATCGACACATTATACCTAACCGCTAGATATATTCCGTCTCTCATGAGACTCTAAAAAGCGGCTTTAGCATTAAATCTTCTCATTAATCAACACTTTCATTGTTCAAATTTTCATCATTTCATTGTTCAAATCTTTTCATTGTTCAACGGTTTCTTGAATTCTCTGGTCAAGCCAAAAATGAGAAGGTCAGACGTTAAGTAACGCTATTATTAGTAGTGTCATTGCTTTGTTTCAGAACAGCGGAGGCGTGGGCATAGACAGTGAGAAGGCTGTTACAGAGATACCTCAGAACTACAAGATACAGCGCATCATTGACTACAGCTCCGCCCCCAGATCCAGCCTCCTTTGGAGGATAGAGGCAAAAACCAAGAGCAAGACTAAAATTACAACAAAATGACACTCAACAAAAGATGAAAGCTTCGAGTGTGATTAATCACATGGCAGGCATAGGGTCAAGTCTACAAGCAGGGGCGGATCTAGGATTTTCTTGAGGCCAGAAAAGGCATTTTTGAGGCTGCAACCTCAAAATTAGTATACTTTGGTACCGATGGTGCCTTTAGAAAAAATTTAGGGTCAGTCAGCCAAAAATGGATATCTCAAAATAGTACAAAGGGGGAACTATTTTGAGCCGGCAGGGGTTCGAATCCTTGAGGTGTGCCCCCCCCCCTAAATCCGCTGTCTTTGGGTCGGGAGGGGTTCGAATCCCTGAGATGTGGCGTCCTCCCCCCCCCCCCCCCAAAATCCGCTGGTGACTCTATCCCCTAAATCGCCTTGCAGCATTTTCTCAAAACTACATTATATTACGTTTGGGTTTTGCGTGTAGAATATGTCGACAAAGATGAAGGAGGCTAAAAATGAGGAGAAAAACACTATATACAGCCCCACATTCTACACTGCACAACATGGCTACAAACTCATGGCAGCCACATGTCCATTCGGAACAGGAGTCAGTAAGTAGACTAACGGCTTCAGTATCAATAGACTACGCTATAATACAATAATTGACTTACCAATGAACGTACGAAGAAAAAACAACACGTTTCAGCACCCAATTAACTAACTAAGTGGAACGAAACAAGCAGCAAAACTCACTAAGACGTTAATTTAAAAATATAGCAGTATGTTGGAGATAATTCTAGTTTTTCTAGTTTTTCTTTTTTCTAAAAGTTGACACCTACCATGTTTCGAAAATTTTCTAAGCGACAATCAAAAATTGAAAAGAAGGGTTTTTAATGGGTTGCTAAAAATTTTGTCAACTTCTACATCAGTTAAAGATAAAATTATAAAATGATGCTGATGATGTCAATGACTTTCAGACAGTGGAAAGTATCTGCCCATTTTTTTCTTCATCTGCAAAGGCAACTACGACAATCTCCTCCCGTGGCCCTTCAAGGCCAACTTCGTGGTGAAGATCAAAGACCAGCACCCAGAGACAGACAAACGAAACGACATCGTGCTCAGCTTCAGTCCAGATCCGAGTAATGAACTTCTGACAGAGGCCCTGAAGCAGCCAACGAGAGAGCGGAACAACTACTTCGGAGTGGCAAAACTAGCTGACCTGAGGCAGCTCAGTCCGAGGAAAAGCTACTACGTCAGGGATGACGTCATGTTCGTACAAGTGTTTGTGGAGAAACCGGAAATGCCTGTTCTGTAACTGTAATTTACTTGACTCTAATAGCTTGGCTAGAATTTAAATGTTCGATATCATACCTGCTGCTCTTTACAGCATCAAGCCTGAAAATGAAAAATAGAAATGAAAAAGAATACGCAGAACTGATAGACCTGCTGCACTCCTTAAGCTTCAAAATAGACTAGAAGATGCATTTCTGAATAACAGGCTGAAAAAACGGCAAAAATGAGCCTTATAGCCATTCAATTTTTAAAAAATGCTAAAAACTACAGAAATTGAAAGAAAAAGCTTCAAAGGTTATTATAAATACAGATTCAAACTCGAACCTCCGCCCAAAAAAAAAAACACTTCACCGTGGTTACTACAATTTCACGCATACATTATTCTTACCTATGAGGCAGCACAATAACCTCAAGTTATCCGGATCATTACTTCAATTTTTACGGTGCGTAGTCGGTCCCGGTATAAGAATTCTACTCAACTTGTCGTTTAGCGAAGGTACAATTCCTCAGGCGCATAAATATGCTAAAATTTTGCCACTATATAAATCTGATAGTAATTTCGATCTTAACAACTATCGTCCCATAGCTCTTTCGATTAGCTGTGGCAAAGTATTTGAAAAATTCATGCACTCCAGAGTGTACAAGTGCCTTGAGACGTTCAAAATCATTTATGAGCATCAATTTGGTTTTCGGCAAAAATTTGCAACTATCGATGCTTTATCTGAAATAACTGAACGACTAAGAATGGGTAAAGACAAAAATATCAAATGCAGTTTCTTTGTTGATTTTGTTGAAATCTGCCTATTTTATCATGAGTATCGAATATGTCTGAATTCTAAGCTTTCTAAGCTTTAATTCAGATCGCGCTTAAAAACGACGAATTTGAAAAAAAAATCTTTTTGTTGGAGGTAATTAATGATTATGGTCGGAATATTCTATGCAACTTGCACCGCTATTGGCTATCCTTATTGTATTACGCAATTCGGAAAGAATTTATCAAATCGGAATATAGACTTTTTGTGTCGGGTTAAGAACTGAATCACTTAGTATCTTGTTTCATAATGAATTCAAATTTCAAGCGTCTCCGGCACACTTTGTAAAAGTAACTTTTCGTCTTTATCGATTTAAATTTCGGTTTTCGTCAAAAAGACCTTTGTTTGTTCCAAACTAAAACTTTAGCCTTAAAAAGTAGGCCTAAATGATTTCAATAAGTTTGTGCTGATTTTTAAATTTTGCGACAAAGTGCCCTGTGATGGTAACCAAATAAGCGAAGGCGTGTTTGTGTGGCAGGAGTGTCGAAAGACATTTGAGATCTAACTGCCGAAATTGACTCGAATTTAACCAAAAACTAACTTCGTTAATTTACGCTTCAAAAATAATTGAAAAGTTTGAGAACATTGATCCTGGGAGACAGGACGAACATACCAGCCTCACCATAAAAAAAAGAAGAAACAATGATCATGGTGGTTGGTCATCAAAATACTAACTTATCAACTGAGAAGCAGAGATTAAGCCTATTTCCCATTTTGCTATTTACACGCGACTTCATAGATAGGCGTCTCGAAAAACTAGTTTATATAGGGAGATCTTAACAGCCGTCTGACAGTTGGAAAAATTAATGAACCCAAGAAAAAAACGGCCTTTTTTTTAAAACAACATTTGATTGGTGCTTTTTCGATATTTATGATTGGTGCTTTTTTGATATAATAATCAATATTTACTTTCGCTGGAAATCTGTACATCAAAATCCACTTTTTCGAAACTAAAATCAATCACATTTTTCGCGACTCTTACATTTTGCTGTTCGAGAGCAGAGTTACCGTTCCTTTTAACCAAGGAAATGCAGTGAACCTAGAAATCAATCAAAAGTAAAAAAAAATTAGCGTGAAAAAATTCTACACAGAGGCGAAGCTGCAATTTCGCAAACACGAGCGAGAAAGCGTCAGACTCATGAGCTTAAAAATGCACAAAAACTCAATTTGTGCATGTAATAATGCAAACTATTTTTTACATTGAAGGCAACCACACTATCTTTGCATGTAACAAATTAGAATTTATTGAAATTGCGGGTATTATGCATTTAAAAATTTTCATCGAGTCCAAAAATTTCTGAAACGGGATTTTACTTAATATACTGTTGTATAAAACATTTTTTTTTCCGGTTCGATAGATCAACTTACAAGCATCAACTATGTTATTTAAATAAAAATCAGATGTCAAACCCATGATATAAAAAGCTAATGCATGCTACTGATTCAAAACTGCCACCAAAAGTAGCAATCATTTTATTTGCAACTTAAATTGGAAAAAAGTTGCATCGTACTTTGAAACTACGCTTCCCGCACGTGTTAAGACTTTCTCCTGGAACAAAACCACAAAAAATCACCAAGACCTATTTAAGAGTTTTTACTACGTTCATTACTCCTAATAATTTATTACACCAAATAAACAATTTTCGACTCGAAGCGATTACTTCCAGCTAGGAAAAACTCTGAACTACCAATAATTAATTTCATTATTTTTAATGGAATTGAAATTTAAAAAATGATTGAGAACGTTTAATAAGGAAAAAAAATGCGTCAAATTGATCTGACTGTAAATGACACGGCTAGTTATACATTTATTGCCAGCTAGTCCTGGTATATATAAGGATGACAATATAAGACTAAAACTTACAAGCATCAACTATGTTATTTAAATAAAAATCAGATGTCAAACCCATGATATAAAAAGCTAATGCATGCTACTGATTCAAAACTGCCACCAAAAGTAGCAATCATTTTATTTGCAACTTAAATTGGAAAAAAGTTGCATCGTACTTTGAAACTACGCTTCCCGCACGTGTTAAGACTTTCTCCTGGAACAAAACCACAAAAAATCACCAAGACCTATTTAAGAGTTTTTACTACGTTCATTACTCCTAATAATTTATTACACCAAATAAACAATTTTCGACTCGAAGCGATTACTTCCAGCTAGGAAAAACTCTGAACTACCAATAATTAATTTCATTATTTTTAATGGAATTGAAATTTAAAAAATGATTGAGAACGTTTAATAAGGAAAAAAAATGCGTCAAATTGATCTGACTGTAAATGACACGGCTAGTTATACATTTATTGCCAGCTAGTCCTGGTATATATAAGGATGACAATATAAGACTAAAAAACTGTAATCAATAGATGCTGTTTTTTTAAATTGTAATTAAAATATCTATTTTTTGGTCAAACTCATCCAAAAATGGTCAAAACGTCATTTCTCTAAAATCTCGTGCGCGGCGCAAGACTTTTTTGTCATATATAGATTTAGGCACAGGTCAAAAAATTATAAATAGCAGAAAACCCCTCTTCCAAAAATTCTTGCACACGTCACTGCCAGTTACTATTGTTTCATTGTGCGCAATCTCAACCTAATCAAGCTTAGCGCTTCATTAATTTACATTCTATCATTCTCATCGAACACTTCTTTATACAGTGCTGACTTAAATTATCCGGACAAAACGAACAAAACTTGAATTTTCAAACGCGTTTTTCTCAAATTGGGTTAAGATTAGACAAAAAGTGAAGAGAACAAAAGTTGCTTAGAATTTCACCAGAATTAATATGGTGCCATTTTTTCTCCGAAATTCTCAACAAAAATTTTACCCCGAAAATGGGTCATTTTGGCTTTTTTCAATTAATCAAGAATTACGCTGAAACTACTTTGTTAATTGATAAGATAATTATATCACAGGAAATTTCTTACGCAGCTAAATAAAGTTTAACTAGGGTTAAGTCTCCAAAAATTTGCGCAAATTGTTTAAAATTTGTTTTTAAACAGCGATTCTGGGTTTTATATAGTAAAAATCACATTTATTGACTATCGAGTGAAAATTTTTTCTCTTTTACTGGTTTTTGGAGATTTAACCCTAGTTAAACTTTGTTTAGCTGCGTAAGAAGTTTCCTGTGATATAATTATCTTATCAATTAACGAAGTAGTTTCAGCGTAATTCTTGATTAATTGAAAAAAGCTAAAATGACCCATTTTTGAGGTAAAATTTTTGTTGAGAATTTTGGAGAAAAAATGGCACCATATTAATTCTGGTGAAATTCTAAGCAACTTTTGTTCTCTTCACTTTTTGTCTAATCTTAACCCAATTTGAGAAAAACGCGTTTGAAAATTCAAGTTTTGTTCGTTTTGTCCGGATAATTTAAATCAGGACTGTATTATAAAAATAATTGATCTGACTCAATTTAAACTGAGTTTTTGTCAATGAGGGCTGCTAAGATCAAATAAAAAAAAATAACACTTTAATTGCACATCGAAATTAATTTCAATACACAAGTGTATGTCAAATGTTTTCTGTTTTTTTCCTATCAGTTCATAAAAATATTATAACATCATTAGATACACATAGTTACAATAACAATAAACAAAACAAACTCGATTACAATTATCGATGATTACTTTTCAGCTGAGAGCTTCAAGATGGTTGGTAAATAAATGTTATTAGATAAACTTGAAGCTTTTCCATGAAACTTTACCATGAGTTGCCACAGAGGGGTCTTCTTTAAATAATAATAAATAATAATTTTTGAATTTTATCTTTGCTTTTCTGTATGTTACTATGTCTTTAAAGTTGACTTTATCATCTGTTAGTTTGTTCCAGATTATGACGGACTTTTTAAAGAAGGAATTTTCTATGTATTGCCCATTGTATCTGTCGCAGAAATATAATTTTTTGTTTCTTGTATTAATGTCTATTTGGTGGTTATCATACTCAATGTTATAATAGGCTGGCAATAATTGATGTTGTATTTTCCAAAAGTGACATAATATTTTATAGTCCAGAAACATTGTTACTGGTAATATATTGTGTTTTAGCTTCAAGTCTGAAGATGAGTTGTATTTTGCACGATCGCAGCAAGTTTTTACTGCCCAGCTTAATTGTTTTTCCAGAGATATCATTAGGTTAGCGGATATTCCACTTAAGAGAATTGCTGGGTAATGCAAATGACTAATTACCAGTGCATGCATTATCAAGAGTCTTGTTTTCACTGGCAATGGCTTTTTGATTGATTGAAGTGTTTTTATTCCGCATGCCATTTTCCTGAGAATATTTTTGATTTCATCTTGGAATGTGAGAAACTGATCTAAAACTACTCCTAGGTATTTAACATTGGTTTTTTCCTCAATTATTTTATCATCTAGAGTTATAGTATACTTTTCATCCTTTTTTCTTGAATGTTTTTTTGCTGAAAACGATGAGTTCTGTTTTTTTTTGCATTCAATTGAAGTGAGTGTTCTAAAAAATAATTTGATAATAGACTGCAATTGGCTTCGAGTGCTTTAATAGCTTTTTGTGGATCGTCATTTTCGCAGAATAGTAATGTATCATCCGCATATTGAACTATTTTACATGTTTTGTCAATTTGTTTGTTGAGATCGTTAATGTAGAGATTGAATATTAGAGGGCCAAGGACAGTGCCCTGTGGGACACCCTGCTCAAGTGTAATCCAATCGGATTCGATGTTGTTAACAATTGTTTTCTGACTTCGGTTGGTGATAAAGGAATTGATCATTTCTATAGCTTCTTCGGAAAAATTTAACCCTCTTAGTTTTTGTTTAAGATAAGTATGATCAATAGAATCAAATGCTTTAGAGAGATCCAGTAAGGAACATGCTACAATTTTGTTGTTGTCTATTGCTTTTCTGAATGCTTCAGTGCAATAAAGAATAGCGTCGATTGTTGAATATGATGTTCTGAACCCAAATTGGGTATTACTTAGTAATTTTTGGGATATCAGATATTCGTTGATTTGTTTATATAACAATTTTTCAAAAACTTTTGAAAGAGCCCCAGTTATAGAGATAGGCCTATAATTTTCTGGCAGTTCTGGATCTTCTTTTTTGTATATTGGTGTGACAATTGCTTTTTTGAGCTTGCAAGGATATGTCTTGTTTTTCAAAAACTCATTGTACAGAAATGTCAGATGTGTGTATATTTCATTGCAGCCATCCTTCAGCGCCCAGGCTGGAATTTTGGATGGACCTGGTGCCTTTTGACAATTCAAATTATGTATTTCTTTTTTACATTCAGCTGATGTGATGAATCGGAATGAAAATTTATTATTATTTCGAATTTTGCATGTAGAAGTCGGTGGATTTTGCCTGATTTTTGAATTAGTCTCATAAAAGCATCCAAGAGTTGAGAACTTGTAATTTAGTAGGTTCGCCATCTGTAAATTATTGGTTATGAAATCGCCGAAGGAATTTTTAAGTAATGGAATGAGGTTGGAAGATTTTTTTGAGTTTCTTGTATCGTTTATTATACTCCATTTTTCGCGTTCGCTTTTTTTCGAATTAAACAGTTGGGAAATAAATTTATCATCTTCGTAGTTTACCTTTGGTTTGTCGTTGCGAATGAAAATAGTCTTCTGTGGGGCACATTCTTTAATGGTGTCAGCAATGTTAGATGTGAAGATGTCGAGCATTATTTCGGGATTATTATTGCTATAGAAACTTCTCCAATTTATAGCTGATAGTTTTTGTTTGAATTTGTAATTGGAGTAATTGGATTTGTCATATATTTTACGTTTGATTGGTCTTACATTGTTGTTCAGCTTAAGTTCTGTAATGAATGCTGTTGCTTGGTGGTCGGTCTTAATTGGTGGTGTGAATACTATTGAATTATTTGTTAGATCTTTTATGCCTAGGTCGGTGATAATATAGTCAATTAGTGCTTTTGAGTGAGTAGGTGTTAATTTGTTAGTGACGTCCAGATTATATGGTATTAGGATTGTATCTAAAGACTGTTTGTCGTCTTCGTTGAGATAGTTGAGATTGTAATCTCCTAGTAAAATTAGGTTTGAATTGAATGATTGTGCATGGTCAATTGATTTGGCTAGATCTTCTAAGAAGTCTGTTTTGTTGTTTCTATTAGGATTGTAGGCCAGGTTTAATAGAGTGGTTCTATCATTTTTGTTGAGTCCGGCTTTAAATTCTATCCAGATGCTATCATACTTTTTGTGCATGTTGTTTAAGTCATGTCTTACTTTTGGGTTTAACTTTTTAGGAACCAGTAACATGACCCCTCCACCCTTCAATTTTTTACTCGATTCATAAGTTCTATCACATCGGAACAACTTACGTTTGTCATTGTCTATGGCCCATAGTTTATCGTCATTTGTATCATTGAACCATGTCTCGGAAAGTCCGAAAATTCTATTATCATTAAAAATTTTAATGAGTTATTTGAAATCTGAACGCTTTCTAGCTAAATTTCTACAATTCAGGTGTAGTACTTCCAGTTTTTTTTTATTTGACTGAATTCCATGAAGGGTCTTGGATTTGGGTGGATATCTCCTGATGTTAGGAGAGTTTTATGAAGGAACCTTTCTTGTTTTTTATAAGTCTTGCTTGTGTTTTTTATATAATAACTGTAATAGTAATAGCTTATATTATTAAGTGTAGTGCAATAGTATTTGTTCGAGTATATTGTGGCAACCCATGGAAAAAGATACTTTCCTTTTCTTTTATTCAGTACCGCATAAGCTAAGAATTGATCGCTTTCGCAGAAGCTGATGACAGATATGCTAGTTAAGGCAAAAAGTAACAGCATATCGCTTTGTAGAACAATTATAATTAAAATTACAAATAACAGTCGTTTATCAAAAAGATAGTCTTAACTAGCATTATTTAATAATGAAAACCTTGCGAGTAGTTATATGACTGCTGGTTACGATTCAGATTATGGATATAATTATTATCACAGCCCCATGACTTGTTGTTGAAATTATTTTGACCAGTTTGTCGGCCATGACCAGTTTGTCGGCCATATGGGTGCATGCGATCGTTACTATAGGGTCTATTGGTAGACCTATAAACATTTTTAGGTTGATAATTGGAAAGCAATTTTTGGTTGGAATTTGCTTTTCCAGTATAATCAGGGGCTGGTTTTATTCTCGGGAGTTTACTTGAGTGTTTGAACACGTATGAGCCGAGGCAATTGCGCAAGAATGGTATACCTAATTCATCGTTCAGGTGTATAGTGTCAAAATATAAACTCTGATAGCTATCCAAGCTTTTGATGTTTGAGTTTAGATTTAGCACCTCAAATCCCGTCGTCGATCCATACATTTCATTCAGAAAACGATTATAATGATCAATTTTGTCATTAGCATCCTCATTGTTAAGTATTGGTGGTATTTCGCAAATAACAATCGATTCTGGTGAAAATTTTGCAGTTATTAGAGCGATAAGTTCTTCATATTTGGCGCTAAACTCATCAATCGTTGAGTAAATTTTTTTCAAGATGGAGTTTGTCCCATCTTGGATTATCACACACTTAAGTTTTTTTTGACTATATTGTTCAAGAACTTTTATTTTCTCCTCAGTGGAGCTACCCCTGTATGCATGAACAATCGTATCATTGGGGAAAGTTTCAGTTTTTACCCTAGCAATTATACTTGAACCCAAAATCAAGTTTACACACTCCTCTGGTACAGGAAAAGGCGAAAAGTTTCTCACGTTTTTTGATACTTCTTTTGCTTTCGTCGATGTTGACTGTAGTTTGCCATCCTTGTCTGCTTCCGATGTTTTCTCAATAAACTCCATTATTTTACGATAATCTTCCTTCTGGTCGTACAAATCGGAGTAGATCTTGTATAATGCTGATTTTTGAAGTCCATTAAATTCTTCTTGGCTAAGTTTTTTGCTTGACATGACTTCAGATCCTGTAATCCTGCTAAATAATCTAATTACAAGGCTGAGATAAGTTTTTCTCCTCGCTCGTCTGATTCGATCAAGCAATGACTACTGATTTCTAGCTGTTGATTTCTATTGCCGATAGAGTTCTGTTGCCGAGTTCTGTTGCCGTCCAGATCAAGCAATGACTACCTGTTTTTCTGTTGATAAATATTTTCTGCTAGAAGAGTTGATAAATATTTTCTGCTAGAACAGCCGATAGAGTTCTGTTGCCGAGTTCTGTTGCCGTCCAGATCAAGCAATGACTACCTGTTTTTCTGTTGATAAATATTTTCTGCTAGAAATAACTTTTTTTTTGCTAAAAAAATTTTCTTTTTCTGTCAAATAATTTTTCTGCAAAACAGTTTTCTTTTCTGTTGAAAAGCTATAATTTCTTTTTCTACTAAATCGTTTTTCTGTAACTGTCTTTTTCTTTTTCCGAATTCGGTTTTTCAATACAGATTTTCGAATAGAGCATGTATGGAATTTTCCAAATTTTAGGGTTCGATAATATAATGCACAGATGTTTTGTTTTGATTTGAATAAGTTTTCTAGTTCAGACTAATCTCTATCTAAACGACTTTATTTTTGTTTGTAGAGAATTTCCATTTAAAGTTTGAAGGTCAAAAAGATCAAAGGCGAAAATAATGAAAAAAGAGCAAAAAAAGCCGACTGATTTCTAGCTGTTGATTTGCTCCTGTAATTTCTAGCTGTTGATTTGCTCCTGTGAATGAACCTCAAAATGAATTAAATACTACAACCAACTTTTCTAGATGTTGATATTATTTGTTCTCGCATTGTATGAACTGCAATTTGTTAAACGAAAAAATATAGTTGCAAATAAAGCAAATTGTCAATCAGTTCTTGAATGATATAAGCTATTCCCCCAATACATTTAAATTTTATCCTCCGTGATTATCCAAGGAACTACTCTTCATTTTCTTCGTCATGAGGTACCTGCTTTCGTAGATCTGACGTAACTGAGAGTCAAATACATAATGATACACGTTATTATTATTCCTCCGATGAGAATGAGCCTATCTTGTGATCCTCGTTTTTCGATCATTTTCATTACTGTAGTCGAGAGGCCTAGCGTGTTTGCGAAGTCGAGTAGTTTTCGCTGGATATCTTTCATGCTAGTTCTCTGGCTTCTGAGATGATCCAGGGCAGATCCGCCTGTGGAAAGAATTCCGTCTAACTCACGATTTGTAACCTGAAACCGAATTAAATAATTCACTGGAACAATAAATACCAACCCCGTCTCCGTCGATTTGCATCTGTCTAGTATAGTTTAGGGCATCAAATTAATCACACGAATTATGCCTGTTACAAATATCGTGGACAAAGTTAGATCATCATCAATTTGCAGCTTCAATGGTTAGCAAGTTTTGACAAAAACTCTTTGAAAAAGGACAGGTCCACAAAAATGTGAGGAAGCAAATGAGATATAAGCCTTGTCAAACTCTAGTTGGAACACTTTGTAACCTGTAGTCTGGAATTAATGTCGAGTGAGTCTCCGATGTCTATGGCCTGGTCATTAGGGGTGAACTTCCTGTGTAGCAGCTCGTCTCTCTCCCGCTCCTCCCGTTCTCTCTCCTGTCGCCTGAGGTGGATGTTGCCCAGAGCTCGAGTCACGTGATCATAGTCATACTTCAACTGGTTCACGCGCATCCTTGCGTTCTAAAGCAAAAGCAGAGGAACTTTTTGAATAAAACTGACTAGAGTACTATCAATGAAGTGGAAGAATCATCAACCTTGCATATTGATAAACGAGTTTAATTCGCATTTGATTTCAAGCATTGCCACGATATTTTGCATACTTGTTGAGTTTGTATCCATGCTCTATATTACCAAAGTGAAGCTATGTAATAACATAGCCACCAGAAAGTTGGAGTCAATGAAGGCAAAAAAAAACAAAAAAAATGACTTTTGTGCAAACAAACTTAACCCCAATTGAGAAAACTAGATCAATATGTAAAGTTTTGATCTACATATGGATCCATATGTAGGGGAATCTGATAAATAAAACAATAAAAATCAACTTTCGAGATTAGAAGTCCATCACTGCTCGACAGTGGATTTTGCCTTCCTTTTAACAAACAAAGTTAACTGGACTTGAAAAGAAACCAAAAATCATACCGCGAAAAATCAAATTTGAACGTTAACAAACTTTGAGAATTTTTATGAAAAAAAAACATCATCACGGCCTTATATAACATTCTACAATTAATAAATCTAGAAATAGAAAAAGCATAGGAGGACGAGTCATGATGCAATTGAAGAAAAACGTAAGTATAACAGAAAAATTTGCATCTGAATTACTGAAAGTATTCGGGTTTTAGTTAAAGAAAAGTAGTTTGGATAATGCTGGTCTACAACCCTCCCAAAGATAATAAAAATTTGCTTCTGTGGAAGACTTCGATAAGGTGTTAAAAATTTTAGTAAGAAAAAAAACATCGAGCTATAATATGCGATAACTTGAATATTAATGTTCTCGAAATATATACAATTTCTCATCGAAAATAACAAGGCCGATTGATAACATAAACTTTACACAGAGGCGAAGCTGAGCTTCGCACCACTTGTGACACAAAATAAGATTTTAAAAAAATCTACACAGAGGCGAAGCTTCGCTACGAAAAACTAGCGAGAACACGACAAACAGCAGCTCTAGAAAGTTCAACAACGAATCAGCCTTGAATTAGCGAAAATCGGCTAGGTATAGGATTCGATCTGCGACTTATTGTAATCAAACGATTTTGAGTCTCACGCACTAACAACTTAGCCACGCACGCTTAACCACCGCCAAACACTAGTCAAGAGCAAAGCAGCTACATATGCTAACAATTGCCAATGCGATTCAGCAATAGCGGCACCAAATACAAATTTACACAATTTAGCAAGCATTAATTTGGAATATAACAAACTGAGGGCATCCACACTAGCTTTGTAAGTAACAAATCGAAAAGCACGAAACGACATTAGGCATAGATTATGCATTTCAAAAAATTGCGAGACATATTGAGTTAGAACATTTCTGAATGGAGTTTTTATTATTGTTGTTTGAAAAAAAATAGCCATTTTCGGTTCATTTGAAAGCACATGCTATCAAAAAACAGCAAAAGTGCCCCAAAATTTGCGAGTTAGGTTAGAAAAAAAAGGTTCTTAATAATAAACTAAGCTGACGCTAGTGTAAAAATGTCGAAAAAACTAGTTCTATCAAAATTAATAAGACTAGTCTTGAAGCAAAACATGCCAAGACAAAATAGTAGGAAATAAGCATAGGAAAATAATGTACCTAGCGGTAACAAACCCGAAAACACCTTGAGAAAGCTTTTAAACCGAAAAAAAATCAACAAGACTTCAGACTTCTGAAAATTTGTAAGTCCACCTCACCCTCAAAACATACAAACACTAGAAAAAAAATTTATTACTCGTCAAATGTAACAATTTAAGACCACCCAGCCTGTATAATAAAGGCGGAAACTTATTAAATCGCAAAAAATGCAGAAAAACAAAAACAAGAAATTAGAAAATTAGCTCACTAAACCGATAAAAAATATGCCGAAACCATTTGGGCAGAATAAAGTTTTTAGACAAAAAAAAAGAAAATATACGGAGTCAAGTTTAGTAAAACTACAAACAGCAAAGGTAAATCAGAAGACTAGAATCAACTATAATGTGAAAACTTTTAAAAACATTTCTACAATATGGCAAATAAGCCGACAATTGTTTGGAAAAAAAGACGTCCTGCCAGATTTGAACCCAGGACCTTTGGCGCCCCAGGTGAATTCGTTACCTCCAGAATAAGTTGAAGACGATTATAATTCATAATTCATTATGAACCAAGACACCAATTCATTCAAGTGATTCTGTTAAATAGGTCGTTAGACCGAAAAAACGTCTATATTCCGATTTGCTAACGCTTGCCAATAGCAAGCGTAATAAAATTTACAAAATAACAAACAAAAAGAACAAAATTATTTATGGAAACATTCCGGTTAACTAACCATTCGTCTAGCAGGTGGCTCATGGCCTACTTTGTTCTCCAATTTCTGGCAGTTGGAGTTGATGACCTGCAACTTATCATCTATCTCCTGGGCCAGCTGTGCCTCGTGAGCTTTGCTGCACCTGTCATAGGTGGACAGATACGTTTTCACCTCCTCCAACTTTAGATTGGTGTCATGATACAGTGCCTCCATATGATAGTATTATGAATGAAGATTCAAACTTGCAAACAAAAATAGCATTTCAATTAGTGATTAGCGACGGCTGATACCGTGACATCCGATACATTGATGTAATCTGAAACCATGAGTGTTGAAACAAATGTAACAGGAGAGGAAAGAAGAGTTTCGACAATAACAGAGTTTTGACAACTCTCGCTACATACCATACAGTCACTGACCGCTAGCGCAGATGACAATTATACAAAGGATAGCCGGTGGCTTTGCAAGTAGCACAGGATCTTCCGGCCATATTCATTTTTTTTATTCGAGGTGCGATGAGAGGATCTGAAAGACAAACTAGAACTTCGGCCTATTTGATGGTTATAGTAAATCAAGCATATTCCACTGCTTTCTCGAAAAATTAAGAGAAAAAAAATAAATAGCGAGGGCGCTAAAAAGCTTAGCGGAAACTAAAATTTCATGGCTTATCTTGAATTGTAAGAAATCTACTATTGTAAGCTGCTCTCTCGCTTTATTCGCTCGAAGTTATAGAATCAAATCAAAAACAAAATTTTCAAACTGATTTTTGCCCGATCTGCCTACTTTTTTTTTGAAAATTTTACTATGTTCAAATTACACTTGAAAGGGCTTTAAAATGATATATCAATGATATATCACTGATATTTTCAATGGCGACAACAATAATAACAAATCAGTGCTTTTTTGAATGTATTTAACTGATTACCAATGTACCAAAAAAAACAACCTTTCCCGTTGGACTAGATGTATTTAATGGGAAAAATAACACTACGTTTCTTTTCAACTCTATGATTATGATTCCACAGAAAACGATTACCTGAGCGAAGATGTGATTTTTTTACTTGATGATGATCGCTATCTTAGCGACATCACTGAACGATTTGATACCAATTTACTGAATTTCCACGCTGTCTATTAAAAAAGAAGTTCCGGGAAATTTACAGCTTGAACTCTTTAATGAAACCTCAAGAGCCACGGCAACACATAAAAGATGAATTCACAAATTTATTGAAATGCTTCAGAAAACTCAAGATACATTTTCAAAATCCATCGAATACAACTGCAGAAGCACAACACCCATTTAACCATATTTTAGACAAACGAAAATAATTTTTCTGAATTGGAAAAATAGACCTTGAAATACAATGTTATGAAACACTTTCATAGGCATATTCTTGCGTATCTCATCATTAAGCTTGTGGTTTACGTAGCAGTATTTAGACAACCGCGAATTCATACTCGTCAGTGAGCAGACAGGTACTATCTAAACCAATCAGATTCGCGACAAGGAAGAAATTAATAACTTTTTCGTTAGTTTGCTTTCTCGATTCTGATTAGTTAATGTTGTATTTGTCTGCTTACTGACGAGTATGAATATGAGTCTAAAAACAGACCGCACTCCAGATTGGTAGTATTAATTTCATAAACGAATCAAAATTTTATTTTAATATTTGTTTGAGATTATCAGCGCAAAACTCAATTTTGGTCAATGTTTCTCGTACCAGAAACCAGGAGCAGTTTTTTTTTCAAGTAGTTAGCTTAGAGTTTGCTAGTTCAATAGAAGCTTTCATTTATTTGAGGTCATTTCAATAGATGTCTCAATGTTTCGTTCGCTTTTTGAAGCGAAGGCATAGGCTCAACAATGCAAACTGAACTTCAGCCTATTGTGGGCAGTCTTTTTTGTGGTACCAATTTACTTTGCGAGCACACAAAACATCAAACAAAGGATCGATTTAGTATAGTAGAAATAACTGACGTTCTTCGCATTACCTTTACTTAATGAGATTTTCTTAATTGCATTGGGCGCATGAGTATTTCAATTCAAACTACAGCATCTTTCTAGAGTAGTTTACGTTAGTTTCATCACCTCAACAGTTCTTCGCATCAAAAACTATACGAAAAAAAAATCAAAACTACTTGAGGCGTGTTCTCATGCTCTGTTGTTCCTTAAAGTTCCTGTCTATAAGCCGGGACAAGGCAAACAATTAATCACCAATCACCATAAAAAATAAACTAATGAAAACTTACAGCTAAGACTTATGTTGCGACCATTGCGACTGAAATGGGTGTTTCAACTTTACGCGACCGAAGAAACTTTGTGCGGCTTTGCTCGACCCAAAATGATTTAGCAGCTTTGAGCAAGTCAAAAAAGCCCATTTGCGCGACTGAAAATGATATGTTGTATTTTGCATGTCTCAAAAAACAGATGTTGCTATTTGCAGTTCTATTGCGGTTTTGCGACCAAGGTGAAGACGGCACGACACCAGCGCGGTTAAAAACTGCAGTTTGCAAAAAGTTTCATCAAAAAACCGTCGTTTTCAACTTCAGCGACAAAAGTGGAGACGACGCGATCAAGAAAAAGGCGGTTCCGTTTCGATCTAACATTCAGCATATAGACTCTAAATATAAATTACTAAAACAAAACAAAAAATTGTGGACTCATTCATTGTGGCGTGCAGTGCCCTGTTCAATCTCATGCGTTGTGCGATTTCCAAAGCAATGGGTGTTTGTGGGCCGCAGCAACAAAACGAAAGAACAAATCGAAATGACGTTTTCCTAGAATAGGTTGTTCAATGTGTCTGCCAAAAAGCATTTAGTGGAGATTGAGAAGCCCGACTTCAATTTCACCAACAAGATTTACAGAATTATAAGACTAGTGGAACCAATTAATGACTCTCTGTAGCTTGCCTTGAATGTGACACGTCTGCTTGTGATGATTACTTTTTTACACCGAAGCCGAAGTCAGATATGTCAGGCTGATTACTTAGAAACCGATGCTGCGGCAACATGCATGCTTATAGAAGTTGATACAGGCCTGAGGAAACGGAAAACATTCTTTCACAGGAGCTGTTTGATTCCTTCATGACAAAGTTGCATCGATCTACGGAACCTGTTGTCAGTTCCAGCCTATTTCGTCACTCGCTTCAAGCTATTGCGGCAACCAACCGCAGTTCTGCAATATCATAACCGCAATTAGAAGCCTTAACATTTCATTTTCTATTATCAGTTACAAGACGTTACTAGCCCTGGGGCTTTGCCTTTCTTCTTGTATTTTAACTTATTAAATAGTTTCAGATAAATTGTTGATATACTGGGACAGCCGTGGTGGTCCCCTGCAATTACTTAAAATTACTTTGACTGGATTCATTTACCACTGCTACCGCTCGTGGACACTTGTGGGTGGACACAGGTTGGTGGATCACATGATTGTAGTTGGAGCAAGCTCACTCAGAAGGACCCTTGACTACCTACCCTACGATCTAAGGGTAAAGTATCGAAGATTCAATTTTGCAAAATCGGGACTAAGCCTCAACCCAAACAACGTGTGTAAGCTCAAGAAATTGCAGTGGTTACTTAGAAACGGTTCCCTAAAATCCAGAGAAATCATTCTCTGGCACGACGTGATAAACAATAGTATCACAAAGCATCCCAAAAACTTTAATAGGAAGTTTTCCCCGGAGCAGTTAACTGAAATCACCACGAATTTTCAGCATCAAATAGCTGCGATCATATACATTCGTCAAGACGGTACCAATCACATTTTTGAAAAGTTACGGAAGACGAAACCTCTGACCATCGACGCGATAAAACGACTTCTTCCTAAACAAAAACAAAACGACATTGATACAGTTGTTGCCCTCTCTAAGCTACATCATCCCCCTCCGTCTCTTGAGCTGAAGTTGCTCAACAAAGTACTTTCGAAACGTCACAACCTCCGTTCAGTAGTACTTCAGCAAAGATCAAAATCCAGAGTACGGCCCACCAAATCAAAGAGAGCAGCAGCAAAGAAACAACAAGCAGCCCAATCCTCATCGCACTAGTTCTGGTGAGTCTGATTTTCTTGAGACTAGTCTCTCCTGAGGTTTTTAAACCTTGGAGTATCAGTCCAAGGGAATCAAAAAACTCAAGTCTTCTCTAGTTTGGTCTTCTCCTGAGGTTTTATACCTTGGAGTGTCAGTTCTGAGAAGATTTTTTTTATTTTTTTGAGCAAGATGGGCTCAGAAGAAAGACGCAGAAATGCTAGCGTCTCGCAAGCATCTGAGAAATCTTGTAAAACATGCAAAAAGCCGATCACAAACAAAAGTCAAATCTTTAATTGCATTGCCTGTGGCGATGTTATGCACATGACAAAAACATGCACTGGAATATCTGAAACTGCCATCCTTGGAATTTCGGAGATCAGCCAGAACGTCCTCCTGCTCTGTAACTGTTGTGTTGGAAACAATAGAAAAGAGTCGATGATCAACGATTTGATGCAAACCCGTCCATCCATTGCCGAAAGAAAACTAAATGAAATTGCCGAACAATTCTCTACATTTAAACAAGAGATAGATTCACTTAAGCCAAATATAGATGAAACAAACAAAAAACCACAAAACCGAAATGAGCCAAAGCAACATGCCTTAAACAAACCAGAATCAAGCTATAACGGAATCCGGATAAGAGGACTGCTTGAATTGGACTCAAAAAATTCAAGAGATAGACACGAACACGACTTGGAAGAGGTGAACAAACTGTTTGCGTTCTTAACAGTTGAATCAAAAATCACAGATTTAAAACGTTTAGGAAAATATGAAGAAGGAAAAAGGCCCTGCACAATAGTTGTAAATGTTTCAAATGAATGGCAAAAACGACTGATACTAATGTCCTTGGCAAAATTGAAAAACTACGACAAAACTCTTTTAGTGTCAAAAGAGCTCAGCCCAAGTGAATTTCTGATTGAGAACAAACTTCTTATGAAAAGACGAACAATGATAGAAACTGGCGTATCAGCTAAAAACCTAAGGCTAAGGGAACTTGTCCTTTACCGATATGACGAAGAAAGTGGAAATTGGAAAAAAGTCGAAGAAAGCAATAGACTACCTACTGCTAAGTATTTTAAAATTTTATGCCTAAATGTCAGAAGTATTTTAGACATCAACAGAAGAACAGCTCTATCAAATGCCATTTTACAAACAGACTACGATATACTATGTCTCACAGAGACATGGCTGGTAAAGGAAATCCCAGATAAAGCTCTGCATTTGGCTGGTTTTAATATAATTCGCATAGATAGAAAAAAACTCCACTCACGGAGGTGTACTCATGGCGATAA